GTGGGTGGGGGGGGACTTTGCAAAGGTTCTATTAGTAATTCTTAGTAATGTGTCTAAGTTAATGCAAGCTGTTTATTCTTTCTCTTGTACTTCCTCTTTCATATCATTCTCTCAGTTAAATATTGATGCAGGTGTCTGATGTAGGCTGTTTTATTTCTAAAAATATTTATAAGAAAAAATCTTATAAAAATAATAAAAATAATGGTTTCTTTCTTCAGATTTGCTACAGTTTTTTACAGACTGTGTCACTACTCAGTCAACAGTGTGAAATATACAGTGACCAGTGTAGTCTGCATAGTTGTCATGTTATATTGCACTTTTGTATTTGGCATCGCTGTGCTTTTGTTGTTGTTGTTCAGAGTCTACAGTACCACACACATTTCACTGCTTAGTTTTCCACCATGTGTAAACTGTTCAAATTACAATAAAAGACTTATGATCTAACACAATAAAAGAGACTTCTGGGAGCTCAAAATAAGACTTTTTTCAAATAAAGAAGGTGTATTCATTAAGATAAACTGGAATTCATAAGCATTACATTTGTTTCAGTGCCCGTCGCATGCCTTGGTGTATGAATATTAAACTCTGTTCACAGTAACAAATATATCAGTGTCAGACTCAGCACCAACCGTGTCAGAGGCCTGATAGAATAGAAACAGATAGATGTGAGCTCATAGTTGTGGTTTGGTTTCTTCTATTTCAGCTCCAGTGCACTAACCACTGAGAGAGGAGCAGCATTTGCTCAATTTATTGTCATGCAAATACCTAATTATAAACACAACTAATACCACCATTACAATAAAGAGACATAAAAATATTGTTTCATTTCCCTTGTTCATTGAACACAACAGAATACAACTTCTCATAATGGCAGAAAAATACTGTTCTATTTAATACTGAATGGGTCATGACAACATGATCCTAAAGATTTGACCGCAGGTTTCAGGTAGTCTTGAGTCTTTAACACAGTCTGTGTTTTTAACCGTCTGCCATCATTCAGTCAGTATGGAGCTCAGTCAACTTCCTCTTGTACTCTGTGAGTATTATTTTCTCTAAATGTATTTCAGTGGAATTGCTATTATATTATGTAAACGATCAAGTGTATTAGTGTTCCTAGATTTATGTCTTTTCTTGCTGCTCTCAGAGTTTCAAATCCAGCTCTAGTCCTTGATGTATGCATGAAAGATGAGTCAGTGTTGTAGATCAGTGTGTTTGTAATTCAGTTTTGTGCTTTATAATGGTGTCCAATCCGTTCTGTTGATTTGTTTTGCAGTTATTGTCACTGTTGTCATAATATTCACTAGTATGCAGTAAGAGTTTGTCTTTATTCTTCTGCTCGTGATCAGACTGTTGTCTTGAAGTTCCTGAAACAGTTTTCTGCTGTGACCAAATCTATAAAATACCAGTCAGATGTTTTCATGTTTATCTATACAGATATACAAGCCCCCACACAATATCTTTATATTTGCCCAACTTCATAATTATCTGCTCAATGTAATGAGATTTTCTCTTTGTGTTTTTAGTGCTGATTTCAAACATCTACTCTGGACATACTGAAGGTGAGTCAATTTGATTCATATATTTCATCAAATATGAGTACTGAGAGTTGAGAAATTACTTACATTTTATTATGATTATAAACGCACCCTTTTAAAAAGTTAAATTATTCATGTGACAATTATGAGGTGTAAAACACAAGAAACAGAAAAAAACATCAGTCTATCAAAAACAACACATATTTCTTACATTCTCTGTGAAATCAAAATCAGAGCAGTGAGAGACAAGATCTTCTGTTGGAAATCTTGTTGGAAACAATCTCGGATGTTCTCAGTTTTCTGTGCATCAAAGTCACAACTCTCTGTTAACTCATAAAGTGCACAGATGAACATCTCTGCCTTTTCTCCCGGACTTTGTATGCATTGGTAAAAGCACATTCTCTTATGGATTATATTCTTTTTCGGAATGAAGTATTCGTTGAACTTGCCTGGCACAGTTTCCAATTTTTTCCCAATTCTCAATTATTGTATATTGACAGATCTTTTATAAATGATTATAACAACTATAGAGAACAAAACTTCATTCTCATCTGATTTAGCATGTGTGTTTTACAGTCAAGCAAATGTGTTCATACAGTAAAAGCAGCAATTTTTTTCATTGTGAATTGTTGTCATTGTACAGAAAAACCAAAAGCCAAAGTGACAATTAAACCTGCTCAACATGTATTCAGAGGAGAGACAGTCACTCTCAGATGTGACATATTTGCTGAAGGAGTCACTAGCTGGAAGTACAGCTGGTATAAAGAAGATTCAACCGGTGTTTTCAGTGAACTACAGGAACACACATTCAGTCCTGTTACTGAGTCTGACGCAGGTAAATACTTCTGTTACGGAGTAGAGACAGAAAGATCACGCAGCTTACACATCAGTGATGAAGTTACACTGACAGTATCAGGTGAGTTTGATCATCTCTTCACATTCACACAAGTTTAACATGTTATTAATGAGAGATTTCTCACCTTCAGTTCCCAGAGCAGTTTTAAGTGTTTCTCCACAGACGTGGTTGACTGAAGGAGATCCAGTGACTCTGATCTGAGAGGTTAACGGCTCCTCTACAGGCTGGACATTCAGCTGGTTCACTGTAACTGTCTCATCAGGTAAGATGTAATGTGCTTCATGTAGTAACATCTGAATAAACTGGTTTCATAAAAAAATATTATAGAGATTAAAACATTTAATCAATCTGAATACTCTGATTATACCAACAAAGGTAATTTATAAGACTCATGTAAAAATGACTGCTCATTTATTGAGGTAACTGCACTTTTTCATTTTATACAGGCAACAGCAATGATTGTAAGCTGCTCTCAGACAGCAGCAGAGGAGCTGGAGGAAACTACACGGTCAGTTCTGCTGCTAAACACACAGGAGTTTATGTGTGCACAGCAGAGAGAGGAAAACCAGTCTATAACACAACCATGAGCAACACACAGTTAATATGGGTCACTGGTGAGTTTAAACTGAACCACTGAAATTTTCCTTGATGTTTTTAGAGCTTGAAGCGTCTTGAAATGTTTTCCTGTCATAATATATGGTTATTTTTATGGTGTCAGTGGAGAAATATGCTATTGCTGTCAGGTGTAGTTACTGCATTTACTAGCAGGGCCTAAATAGACCAAACTAACCACCTAATTCATGGGTTACACGCAAAAATGGGTAACGCTTTAGATTACAGCCCGCAATGTACTGCATAATTAAACAGAATTTACATCGTACTTATTTGTAACTATAGAGTACCTCCACAGTACCTACTCGTAGGTATAAGAGAACAATAAGCAACGTTTGGGGAATAAGGGGGTAATAACCTGCAAAATTATAAAGCATTTATACTGTAAGTATTTTATAACTAAGGGGCACCTATTCTGAAATTACGTGGTATGTATGACACACAGATCGAAATTTTCCGCGTAAGCATAACTTACAGCTGTACGTACATGTAGGTAAACAGAAACAATGTGCAAAGGTTAGGGGATAAGGGGGTAATGACTTGGAAAATTAAAAGTATTTATACTGTTAGTATTTCATAAATAAGGTGTAACTATTCTAAGATTACGTGGTATGCATGACCTACTGTGTTTTAGAACAAGTTGCCTTATTGTAATAACACAAAATATATGATGCAGTATATTTTTTACACTACGTACTGGGTACTTATTGTATTATTACAACATACATCTTACATGACATTGATACAAATGGTAAACTGTAGTATACTGTAGTATAATTTAGTAATTATAGTAAAGTTAAAAACCACCATAGTCTTTAAACATTTCACCACAGTTAAGAATATATGCTATAGTATTTACTAGTCTTTCTTTATATGGGATCATGGAGATTATAAAGTATGGGGAAATGATGTAATGAGTTTCTGCTGTGATTTGGTTTAGAAATTTCCACATGAAAATGTACCTGATGAAAAAGCATTGCTGTAACAAAGTCAATGACTTGAGAAGGAAGAGGACGGGACTTACTCACCGCTCGTCTCCCAACTCTCTCTCCCGCTGCAGACCTCGCTGAACCATGGCCCCCTCGCCACATACCCCCACCGCCCGACTCAGGCCAGGGAGCCATCCTGGTGAGGCTGGTGAGGTCCGAATAATTAGGCACAAACCTTCTATAATATCCCG